AGGCTCAGGAAGAGAGAGCAGCTTACTGGAGAAGACGCCTCTCTTCTGAAGAGCAGGGTATGGTGACTGATGAGCTTGCTGGGCTGAGACTGTGGTGAAGGACCAGCCCCGAAGGCTGCCTACCTCCTATTTTGGGAGAGGGCCTCTATTGCCTTTTGCCCCAGACCTGCTTTCCGCCCGCTGCTGTCTGGAAAGCAGGGCCCTGCAGGAGGGTAAGCTGCAGCTCTGCTGTGACATTGAGCACCCCCTCCCCGGTGCTGTCACTCACGGGCAGGGCAGCCTCGTGTCATTCTGCCATCTTGTCTTTCAGCGGATCCACTGCCAGCTCTTTATGTTTGCCCCGGGGTGGGCGGCTGGGAGGTGGGTGGACGGGGATGAGCGGGGAGCAGCCAGGAGAGATGGGATTAGTTCAGAGGGAACAGACTGAACTCCCACCAGGGGGACTAGACTCCCACCAGGGGGCAGCATAGAGCTACTGGTAGTTCCTGCTCAAAACCCGAAGGCCTCTCACTGACCTTCACAGGCAGGGATCACACCAGTTCTTCATGACTGCAGGGGGCACCGAGCTGTCTGCGTGCAGGGGGTGAGCTTGGGCTTAGTGCCAGAGTGAAATATGGACGTGCACCCTCCCCGGGAACCTGTGCTTCTGAGGGAATGTGTGTCGGCATCGCTGGTTCTGCACCTTGTGGCGCTCGCACACTGAGCCCCGCGCTTTGCTGTGGACTAGAAGCGGGAGGAGCCAGGAGTCAGGCCCAGCTCCGTGTCTCCAGGGCTGCGGGGAGGACTGCGCATGTGTAGCATGTACCAGGGGCTGGCAGACTTAATGCCAAGGGACACACAACAGATATTTTCTGCGTTGCACAACCACTGAACTCTGCTGTGACGGTTCACAGCCTTAGACAGTGTGTAACTGGTGTGGCTGTGTCCCAGTAATACTTTATTTATAGACCCGGAAGTGGGAACCTCAATAATTTTCATGTGTCACGATATTACTCTTTGGATTTTTTCCCCCTAACCATGTAGAAATATAAACTATTCTTAGTTCTCGGGCTATACAAAAACAGAATGGGCTGGGTTTGGCACAGGCCATGGTTTGTAGGCCCCGGCACATATGGAAGCACTTGGTTACTAGTAAATAAGGCACACGTCATCTGATGATTTCCATTTTCTTGCCTCTATAAAAATGCCTTCTCTCAGGGTGGCGCCTTAGAGTTTACAAAGAATTTTTGTAAATGTATTTTTATTGATTTCAGAGAGTGAGAGAGATACAAACACCAATGATGAGAATCACCAATGAGCTGCCTCCTGCACGCCCCACACTGGGGATTGAGCCTGCAACCCAGGCATGTGCCCCGACTGGGAATCGAACCGTGACCTCTGGTTCATAGGTCAGCGCTCAACCACTGAGCCACACCAGCCGGACAGGGAGGGTTTTTTGATACAAGTGCTGGGCCAGTCTTCTCGGCCGGGTGCCTCTGAACGGCGCACAGAAAACCATTTGACCGACAAGTCCCAGCCCTCGCAGCGCGGCGCATGGCTATACTGTTCTAGATGCCCAGAGAGGGGACTCCATGTGGACAGTGGAGGCCTGGGGAGCCCGGGCCTGGCTGAGAGCCCGGGAGGGTGGGGGCCTGGTCGGCAGTGCTGGTGCTGGGCAAACGTGCCGCCTCCGTGGGAAAGTCGTAGCTGGAAGGAGAGGTGCGAGGGCCAACAACAGTGGCTATTTCTGGATGGTGAGATTATGGGCTATTTTCTTTGCTTTTTCCTCCCTTTTAAAATGTATTTTTCTGCTCTCCTCTGTTTATGTTTCTATAATTTTACAACAGCATTAAAATATCAGGGCAGAAGTTAGCACTTCTCTAAAAATGGGTAAACACGCTGGTCAGAGTCCTTTCTAAGTCAGTAGCCACGCGGTGTTGTTTGGGTGACCGTTTGCTGGGCGCGGGGCCTGCGGGTTCACTGCAGCCAGGCCCGTGGGCTCCTCCGCAGTTCCACAGCAGCCTGGCGTCCCTGAACGGGCTGGAGGTCCACCTGAAGGAGACGCTGCCCAGGGACGAGGCCACCTCCTCCAGCAGAACCTACAACTTCACGCATTACGACCGCGTTCAGAACGTGCTGACAGGTAAGGAGCCGGCCCTGTGCGCAGCGGTGTGGCCGGGGCGCCTCCCGGAGGGGGTGGAGGTTAGACCTGGGGCCAGTGAACGGAGGCTGCCGCCGCTCTGGCCAGAGCTGTCGGGTGTGCAGTTAGCTGGGCTGCTGTTTCCTCACTTGCAGCCCCGCTCCCACGGCATTTAGAATTTGCTTGATGAGCACCTCCTTGCTCATTTGTCCTTTTTTGGCTGTTTCTCCCGTGTTTGAGGGAAGCACACACATGTTCAAATATCTGATAAGTTTTTGCCTAAAACTGTGATGCCCACAAACCGGTGTCACTTACCATCGGGGGCAGTGCCTGCGCCGCTGATTGGTGGCAGCTGTCAGGGCCCAGCTCCCTGCAGGCCTGTTCCCTCCCCCTTGGCACCTGCACACGTCCGAGGCAAAAGCCCCAGGTTGGGGAGATCTGGGAAGGAGTCCGCCACTCACAGCTCTTTGTCCTCCTCTGGAAGCAAACCTGCCTCAGGCGGCCACACCCCAGGACCGCCGCTTCCTGCAGGCTGTCCGCCTGATGCACTCAGACTTCGCCCAGCTGCCCTCCCTGTACGAGATGACCCTCAGGTAAGCCTTCCCCTCACAGTCCTGCACAGGAATCGCCTTCCCGGGGGCCCGGGTGGAGCCTTATTCATGAGGAACATTCCAGTTACTGCCGTTAGGGTCTTCTGTTATTCGCCCTGGTAGCTGCTATAACCTGCTCACATGGTTTCCTGTGTCGTGTATTTTGGGGGTCCCATCCTGGGGCTCAGACCTGCTTTAGACATTGGGGACAACGGTGAGGACAACTCTGGGGAGGAGGGTCTCCATCTCCTTGTCACAAACGATGCTGAAGCGAGGGATGGTCTTCTGACCTGTGACATCATCGTGCTCATTACAGTCCTCAGCCTCCTCCCAGGCCTAGGAAGCAAACATTCCCCTCACCCAGCAGCACCCCAGAGATGCCCTTACTTGTTAGTTTGGTGTGTATCACTCCAAGCTTTGTTGTTTTTAATTTTCTTTTTTTATATGAAATATAGATTAGTATTTCTCTGTTGATTATTTGAAGTCTTTCTTCTAGAAAACAGGATCATACTCAGATACTGTTCACTAGTTCCTTTTCCATCCCTTCGCATGCCCTAAACACCTCCATGCCAGCAGACAGATAGCTGTTCATCATGACTGGTTTGAGTATGTAACCAAGTGAATTCTCCTTTCTCCCCACATGCTTCTCTGTGAATCCAGTAGCAGAGCACAAGGCAAGTGGGAAGTCCGAGGAGGGGGGTGCCTGCCGTGTGAATAAGTCCCATTTAGTCCTTGGGACGATCTGGAAACGTGCATTTCCCCCCATTTTACAGATGGGGGCATTGGAGCACAAGCAATAGCAGTGACTTGCCCCAGGGCACACTCTTTTAAAGCGGCAGGGCCAGACTCTGACTCTAAAGTACAGTTCTCTCCACACGTTTCCAGTTTGGGGGGGGCCTTTATAGCAGGCACAGACAGTGTGTGTGGTCTGAGATCTGCTGCAGCAGCGTCGGACTTATCTTCTCTCTTCCTCTCCTAGGAATGCCTCCACGGCCGTGTACGCCTGCTGCAACCCCGTCCAGGAAACCTATTTCCAGCAGCTGGCGGCGGCCCCGCGGAGCTCCGGCTTCCCCAGCCCCCAGGACTCCGCCTTCAGCCTCCCGGGCAAAGCCAAGCAGAAGCTGCTGAAGCACGGGGTGAACTTACTGTGAACTGGGCCTCGGGGGGAAGGCCTCCCCAGGATGACTATCAAACGCAGTGCCCACTGAGGAAGCTCTGCCTTTTAAACAGAAAATACCCCCTGTTCATTTTCCCGGGAATGCTCCTCTCTAGGAAGTTATGACGTTGGAGTGTTGGATGCTCCTTTATAGATTGGAGGGGACGGGGTAGTTCTTCGGGTCCGCAGACCCGGAGCGCGTGATAAAGACCTTGATTCACCGGCAGTGCTGGGCCAGAACAGGCACTTCAGCTCCTTGTACCAAAGAGGTTCGGGGCCGGTTAGATCTGTCACTGGGCTGAGGCGCCCGACATCTGCCGCTGGTCCATCCCAGCCTTAACATGGCCACAGAATTCAGGTGGCATTCTTTCTAAAACGTGGTTGTCCCGAGCATTTTCCAGCCCTGCCTGCAGGGGGCGATATGAGGTGTGAGCGCTCTGAGAGGTGGCAGGTTTGTTAGCAAGCTGCCTGGCACACCACTTCCCAGAGAGATTGTCTTCTGAGTGGTGCTCCTGGGAGGGAGGGCTGGGACAGTCGGGGCAGGGGGTGGGGGGTGGGAGCCACCTTGTCTGAAGTATCTTGGAACTAGACTCAAAACTAAGAGCCCAGCCCTGGCCAGTTTTGCTCAGCAGATAGAGCGTCAGCCCATGGACTGAAGGGTCTCGAGTTCGAAATTCCAGGTTGCAAGCTCGATCCCGGCAGGCTGCATGCGGGAGGCAACCAATCAATGTGTCTCAGATCTGGGCTTTGCACCGCGTCCTCTTGAGTGAGTGTCCCCAAATGGGAGTTTCCAAAATGTTCTGGGGCAAAAGCAGATCTGTGCTTCTGTGTGGCTGTGTGTGAGGGAACCACATTCATTTGTGTTTCGTGTCTATTACGTCATAGTCAGACATGTTATGAAATGCGGTGCAGATCATAGGATGAAGCTATGTACCAAAGTCTCCTCAGTGTTTACTGAAAGATTCCATTGGAAAACTGCGATGTCAATAACTGCATCTCATGTGTATGGCATGGTGTCTTTTTCTTGAAACAAGTTTCCAAAGGCTAAAATAAAACAGCCAAAATTGCCACTGAGTTCTGATTAATTAAAGAGAACCATGTCTAGTGACCAAGTTAAGGTGGGGGCTGAGGTGTTTTGTGTGTGTGCACGTACGCACATATTTTGTGTGGGCACATTTCTCCTTTTCGTGCCTGACCCAGGGCGGCCAGGGGAGGAAGGTGCCCTTCAGAGTGGTCTGTGGTGGGCGACGGGGCCCAGCCAGCTGCTCCGAGAAGCACCAGCTTCCGCCAGGCTCGCCCACAGCCCCCTCCCCCCACCCTCCTGCCACTGGCGGGCCCAGAAGGCCATCTTCCCACGGGGATAAATATCTATCCTACCTCCAGCCAGGATAAATATCTGTTTTCCTCCTTCTCTGCTAAGTTCTCCAAGAAAAAAATTCATCCCAAGTCTCCACGCCAACCACGCAAGGAACCTTCAGGACTAACTTACACAGAACGCGTTGCTTTTCCTTTCCCCTTGCGGTATTTTTAAGCTGCCCAGCTTTTCCTTTTGCTCCAGAGCTGACGCCCCCAGAGTCGAGCTGGGTGGATTACAAGCTGTCGTGTGTTGAAACAGGGACAGTTTGGAGCCTGGACCCATTTTCATCCACCCACCGGGTGCTCAGCGAACCGTCTGATTCAAGGACCCTTCACACAAGATGTTTCACGAGAAAATCGCTGCCTGCCGCTGGGCCTTCCTACATGGCAGGCCATTGGCAGGTCTTAATCTTATTTGTTTTGCATCCAGAAACCTCTCTTCCCATCTGATTTCCCAGGGCTGCCATTGCGTGAGAAATGCTTTTAATACGAAACGCTTTGGTTTCTGAGAATCAGTGCTCAGGCGGCCAGGTGCTGCCCTTTAAGGTGAGTCTTCACGATCAAGTGAGGAGCGCCCAGGGCTTGGGGCCCTGACCAGGGGACCCAGCAAGGCCCGTGGGCAGGAGGGTGACAGGAGCCATCTGTGTGCTGTTAAAAGGCACTGGAGTCTGAATGGACATCCTTCATCTCCAAGCAGACCACAGGGTTTCGGTGGCAACAGGCGCCTGTGGGCTTTGGTGTCAGAGTCCTGGGTTCCAATCACAGCTCTGCGACTTATTGCTCTGGAAACTGACCTAAGTTACTTCGTTTTTCTCAACCCCATGTCATGTTCTTTAGAACGGAAAGGAAGACGCGGTGTATTTAAAGGCGTGGCATACGTGGCATACTGTGGCCCTCTCTGCAAATGAGTGCAGCTTGAGTGTCGCTAATGGCCTCCCAGGCGACCCCGTGCAGGGGGTCCCTCTGCAGGCCGTGCAGAGAGGCCTGAATGTGTGTGTGAGTTCAAGACGGCTGAGCTTACTTGGCCACCTGGTTTCTCACTGCCGCCGTCCTCCAGCCACCGCATGTGACCTTGGTCACATCAGCTGCCCGCTCTGAGCCTGCTTCTCCTGCTCAGTGTGCACAACTGTCCCTCCTCACCGTGTGGCTGTCCGTGTTAGTGTGGACATACTGTATGTGGAGGGATCTTCTAGCGAGCACGGTGCTCTCTGTCCTCACGGAGGAAGGCCCTCACCTTGAATCGGGGTGGCTAAGGCATCGGAAGTGTGGAAACACAGGGAAGGTGGGGGGTAACTAGAAATCAGGACCAGTGTGCATGCCTGGGAGGGAGGCAGAAAGTCAATCAGCCCGTGTGTGCCGCCTCCTGCCACCGAACGCTGCAATCTGCCCGAGTATTCTCACTGCCATCTGTCAGCAGCTCGAAGATCTGTGGCCTTGTTCTGTCCTCCCTGTGCCCACAGCTGCTTAGCGAGACTCCGCTGGGGAGGTCAATGTTATGGGGAGGGTGCTGGCGGCAGGCTGCAGTGGTCCTTAGAAACAGCATTTTATACTTAGCTTTGCTTTTCGGATTTACATTTTAAAAATATGTATGCAGCACGCCCAACCCACCCAGAATTTGACTTATTAAACCTGAAAGTAGGCATAGGGCTCATTTTACAGATGAGGCTCACAGAGTGGAGTAGGACGTTTTGGTGGCCAGGGATAGAAACCACAACTCAAACCTGGCTTAAGAATAAAGGGGGATGCCCAAAGTCACTGATCATCCGAGAGATGCAAATTAAAACAACAGTGAGGTATCACCTCACACCTGTCAGAATGGCTACCATCAACAAATCAACAGACAACAAGTGCTGGCAGGGATGTGGAGAAAAGGGAGCCCCGGGCACTGCTAGTGGAAATGCAGACTGTGCAGCCACTGTGGAGAACAGTATGGTGTTTCCTCAAAAAATTAAATATGGAACTGCCATTTGACCCAGTGATCCCACTTCTAGGAATATATCCTAAGAAACCTAAAACACCAATCAGAAAGAATATATACACTCTATGTTCATAGCAGCACAATTTACAATAGCTAAGATCTGGAAACAGCCCAAGTACCATCAGTAGACAAGTGGATAAGAAGGCTGTGGTACATTTACACCACAGAATACTATGCAGCAGTAAAAAAGAAGGATCTCTTATCCTTTGAGACAGCGTGGAGGGACCTAGAGAGTATTATGCTAAGTGACATAAGCCAGTCAGAGAAAGACAAGTCTCACATGATCTCACTCATATGTGGAATCTAATGAACAACATAAACTGGTGAGCAAAATAGATCCAGAGACACAGAAACGCAGAACAGACTGCGGAACCTCAGAGGGAAGGCAGAGGAGGGTGGGTGGATGGGAAGTAATTGACCAAAAAACTTGTATGCGTATATATAAGCATAACCGATGGACACGGACAACAGGATGGTGAAGGCAGGGCAGGTTAGAAGGGAGCAATGGGGGGAAAGGGGGGACATATGCAATACTTTCAACAATAAAGACTTTTAAAAAGAAAAGAATAAAGGGGAAGCTTCTTGGCTCATGTAACTGAAAAGTCCAGAGGTAGAGCTGGTTCCAGGAAAAGTTAGGACCCAGGACTCGGATGATCCCCATAGTTGGGGAGGGGGGAGAGAAAGAGAATCTCTTTTTCTCTGTGGTTTTCACTCTCAGATTTTCTTTACACTAGATCCCCACGTCCACCACTGAAAAGTTGCCTCTTTCTCAATAGTCCCAGCAAAAGAATTTGAATCATATGCCAGCCCTGACCCAATCTGACTGCCCAGGGGTTTAAAAGGCTTTGATGGTGCAGAGAGAATCATGTGCCCAGCCCTGGCGCAATCTCTGAATAGCGAAGAGTTTGGAAGGCTCTGATTGGTCAGTTCTGGCTCCTAAACAAAGCCCTGCAACTGGGGCTGGGTCACCTCCCGGAAACCCAAGGACTGAGAATAGGGATGTTATGGTCTTCTAAGGGGCTCACCAGGGTGCTGCTGGAGAAGTGTGTTTAAAACACTGACCGTCCCCTTGAGGCCCAAGCTGGGGGGCTGCCCATCATCACACAGGGGCACGGCCCAGACTCTCATCTCAAGCTGGCTGGTTCCAAAGGCTTTTCAATTTTTGCTATTCAGGGCAGCAACCCTCAGTTCCAGTTACACATTAGAATCAAGGCAAGTAAAGGGTTAAAACAAACACCAGGACTGGACCGTACCCCCTGAACCAAGAAATGAAATGTTTTGGAGGTGGGGGGTAGGCATCAGTATTTCTCAAAATACTGACTGTACTGTGCAAAGTCAAGAACTAGTGCATTAGGCATACGCTCCCCGTCCCCCACTATAAGCTGTAGGTGTGGTCACTGTCACCAAGGGGCTCAGAACCCAGAAAACCTAGATGCGTCTGGGGAGGATGAGCAGGTGCCTGGGACACGTGGGAAGTGACCGGGTGCAAATCGACCTCGTGCAGTCTGGCCTTGGAGCTGATGCCAGCTGCGTCAGGGTCAAGGCAGGGCTTCTCACTTGAGCGGGGCAGGCATGCTGGCCCCTTTGTCGCCTTGAGCATCCCAGGCTGAAGCGTATAAATCACTTCAGCAGCTGCCGAGCTGGCGATGCACCCTGGAGGAGGGAGAAACGCCGCCGTCTCCAGCGAGTGCTGCTGTTCCGTTTGCCAGGGCGGCCCAGCCAGGGCTGTGGGCTGGGAACGGGCTTGCATGGGAAAACACCTGGCGGCCAGACTGCTCCTGGGGTTCCAGCCCACCAGGGCCATCTGTCCCTCTTCTAAGAAAAGGAAAAAAATTCAAATTGTAGCTACTGAGGAACCTGCTTCTACAGGGATAGAAAGGAGCCACTGCTCCTACAGGGATAGAAAGCTGCCCTGTCACCCCACCCCAATCAGATGTGCTCATCCATCTCTGCCTCACCCATCCTGCCTCCTCACCTGCTTCTCTGTAACTGCCTGGGACCTCGGCCATGGCAGGAAGGGAGCCAGCATCGTTTCTCTGCCTGCCAGGGACCATCCCTACAGAGGCGCGATCTGAGGCTCCCAGAGGCTCCGGGACTGGCCAGAGGTCACGTGGGAAGGAGCACCTGGCACCGAGTCCTGGCACCAGCTTTCCTTAAGCCCGAGTCCCTGTTCTTTGCCAGGGTGACACTGGCCATTCCTTAACCTTCCGCAGGCCTGTCTTGTCTCTCCCGCGCCACCCCCATTCTTTTACAACATCCTGCTTCGGTCACTATACGTTTAGGGTCCTGCCTGTCGCTGTGACACCATCCCAAAACCAAGAGCCTCCAACTCAGATGTGCCCGGCTCAGGGCTCCTGCCCGACAGACGACGCCACCATTTCACTGTGGTGTTCAGCAAGACCCTTTATTGATCTCCTGTTCCCCATCAGGTCACACGAGAGCAGGCGGCCAGGTGCCTGGGCGGGCTGTTGGCTCTGTAAACGTGGAGCGGTCGGTATGTATAGAAATCATGCACCTCGAGTGATTCTTTAACAAACACAAGTGAGGAGACTTCAGGTGTTTTGAAAGGTCTGCCCTTTCCTGCATTCTAATCACGGGAAATCTCTCACAGACATTTCACTCAACCGCGGACACGTTCTCTTGGCACACTTGCTAGGATCTGCTAGTGCGTTTCAGGTCGTGGTTACTTCTCACAGAAGCTGCTGGCTTCCATGTGGATGGAAACACGGGACTTGC